CAAACCCAACGACAAAATAGGTAGACACATATGACAAAGTAGATCTCAAATCAAACAATACAAATGCATGTCGACAGCAAACAGGGATGATACATGTGATCACAACATCAAAAATCTCAGCCTCAAGCCTCTTTGGGAAATCATAACACTAGCCCTCACGGCTTCCTGCAGTCTGAGTAGAATCTCTACCTCCATCCTACATAGCTGGATCACCCCTACCAGAAGTCATGTCAACTCTTCCTCGACCCCTGGTCGGAGGCACTGAATCTCTAGCTCGACTAGCTGAATAAGAACGCTAAGGTTCTAAATTAGTCTAAAGAGGAAACTGTCGCATCAGATTACCTAGATCCCCACAAGTAAAGAAACATCTCGGCACCAATAATTATTGCTCTAAACCAGACGACTATTATGGCCACCTCAGCCAAAACCATAAGACTCTCAAGTTGACTGCCCACTCTCAACTTTTGGCATAGAAACATGAACTGATCCACGGGGCAGAAAGGAACTACTACCTCTATGTGAACCTCTGCCTCTAGATGAGGGACCAGAACCATATAACTTACCAGAAGAATAGGCTCTCTTGGGCTCCCCAAACTCCTCTAAAACCATCAACTTTACCTCCTTAGCGGTGCTCACAATAGACTGTAAGGAAGCCTCTCTATCTGGCTGCTCTGAACACATAAGATCTTACAGAGAAAGTCAACCTTCTCATAAACCTGCGAACTATATCTGCCTCATTCGAAACAATAGTCATAGCATGCCTAGAAAGCTCACAGAAACGGGCTTCATTCTCGGTTACAGACAAACTGCCCTGAGTCAAGCTCTCAAACCTTAATCGACTCTCATCAGTCACGCTCCAAGGAATGAAACGATTATGGAAGGCACTAAAGAACACATCTCACACTATCGGAGGAGATCCAAGTGGTCCAGACCTCACAAAAGTCCTCCACCACTCTCTAGTACGACTAGAAAGCTAGAGTGCAACAAACTGAACACCATGAGCGTCCACCATACTCACTGCCTCATGTATCCCTCATAGCACAAAAGTCAAGAACTCATGAGCATCCTCTCTCTTACCACACTAAAACTCGATGGTTTCATCTTCTGAAACCTTTCATAGCACTGTTGACCAACCACTTTCAAAATAACCTCAGGAGTAATCAGTGCACCAATAGCTGGTGCAAGAACCATTGGTGGTTGGCCACCTAAATGTGAATACTCTGAGTCTGTTGTTGACCTAGCATTTACGCCCTACCCTCGTCTAGCAACCCTGTGGCATACCTCTCCCACCACCTTGAGAGAAGTTCTCCAGTACACCTAACATCCTCAACAAAGTCTCCTGAAACAAAGGAGCTCCAAACTTGGGAGGAATCTGGTCCTCAACAACTTCAACGTGTGGCTCAGAAGAAGCCTTTCTAGCCCTACATATGGATGGTACTGGTCCACGGGCATGACCTCTAACCGGTACTACTCCACGAACAAGACCTCTAGCTCGGGACCTACCTCTACCCGTTTCTAGGGTCTCAACAACAGTCTATGGGACTGCCTCCATTCTACCACAGGAAACAGAAGCTCTGGTCCTCGGCATTTGCCAAAATAACATGTGGAAACTCAGTACTAGCGAAAGTAACCATGGAGGATAAGGATGGATGAATAAAAGAAAGTTCCCTAATAATTTTTGTAGCCTCTTGAAGATAAGTATACCCGTCTCTAGACATATCCTCAAGAATCTACTTAGACTTGGCTCGTACACACGCGAGACCTATAAACCTAGGGTTTTGATACCATTTGTCACAACCCAAAAATGGGTGTGATGGCACTTGTCTATTCCCATCAAAACAAGTCAGCCTCAACTAAACGAGAATGAAAGAAATGCGTAAATATAAAGCGAGAACAAGACAAAGGCAGGAAACTTATTCGTTCTAAACAATATCCCAAAACCTAGTTGTCACGTGTACAAGCTACTAATGAAAAATACAGAATTCGAAAGAAAATACAAGTCTTAAATGTCTTTGCTTTTAAAATAGAACAAAGAATAATAATAAGAAAAGGGGACCTACCGGGATGAGAAATAGTTATCTCTCAAATCCTTCAATGAGCCTCGAATGTCAAGAGAAAAAAAAGAAGATCACACAAGTCCGGGCTTAGAACCTACACAAGTGTAGAAGCAAGGGGTGAGTACAAAGAACACGGTACCCAGCAAGCAACCTAATAAACAAGGCATCTATATAGAAACTGAATACCCCTTACACTCCAACCGAACCTCCTCAAACTACAACTTACGTAGAAATCAGCCCAACTTAGAAATTCAACAATACACAGCTCACAAGGCCTAATATCCGCAGTTCAATAGTCACAAATCATCAGTCAAACAAATCAAGTAAGTCAATCTCAAAGTCAAGTATTTCAGCCATACACAACAAGTATATCAATCACAATTAACAAGCAAATCATGCAAACACATTCAAGGCATCAAGTCAAAATAATCAATTTCTTATCAGAACTATTTCTCATCAGCACAATATCACTAGCCAGAACCATTTTCCAACGGCTTTATATCAAATCACTAGCCATAATCATTTCACATCCGTTTTATAAACAATTTCTAGAAATGACCTCGGCGTAATCACACTCGCCGACAATGACCTCGCCATCATAATTCATCATATGTCTCATCACGGGGTTCCACAATCAATGCACACAAGTAATATCACACCACACGGAAGAGACAATGAATCATACATTTCAAGTCCACATTCATTCTTTCAAGCATTTCATCAATCAATCAACAAGGGTCATGATAACGCTCTAATCACTCTCCAAAACTAATTAAAAGAGTGAGCATCATTGTCAATAAAAACCCAACAAAGAGTTGGGGTCGAATCCCACCGGGAATGATGTGTTGTTAAGAATCTATTAAATAATTAACAAGCAATTCATTCGCTTTAAGTTGAAATAAAAAAATGGGTTGAGAAGTACACCGACATCAATAACAACAATTCTAAAACTCAATTATCAAAATGGAAATAATTGATGATTCACAAAACTAAAGGTTTCTTGGGATGTGGGGATTAGTTATTGATTTTGCTTGGGGTATTTTACAATTTCTCAATGTAGCTAATTAGTCAAAAATAGGTTAAGTCATCATCAATTATGTTAATCTTCTTTCGATCTCAAAACATCCTTGCATAGATTCTCCTTTCAATCTCATCTATATGTCATTTCTAAACAACTCAATACCTTACTATATTCTCTCTTTCAAGAATAGGGCAAATAGATCTGACCCATAACCTCTCTTTCAAGCAAGCCATAGACATCAAACCTATATTGCTAGCATTGAACTAATTACCCACTCAAATTAATCTCTTCCGAGCATTAACCGGAGATCAGAGCTAGAACTAAGTTGGCCACGTCAATTCATGAATTAATCACCCGATAATCAGTCAAATTTGTAATTAATAGTCATGAACACAGAAATTCAACAAACCCAATAAGTTAAATCAACACCCAACCCCATAATCACACCCCAAGAGTTTGGGATTTTAGCCACACATTATGAAGTGTAAATAAATTAGATCTTGTATGAGAGTAGCCATGGGTAGCATGAAATTGAATGTTTAATAGCAGAACCAATTCAAACCCCACTTCAATTTCCCAAATTCAAGTTTATATCTCAAAGATTCAACAATTAAAAGTGTTTTGGCTCAATGGCAAATATTTATCTCTCTAGAAAATTCAGAGTGTTTCGCTCAATTTTTTCAGACGTTTTTTCTCTCTCCTCTGGACTATTTATAGTTTTCCAATATTTTACTCAAAAAGTAGTTTTGTGTCGTTTTCAGTGAAATTAGCTTAGTTCGTCCACTGCATTCGGCGAATTGCCCTTCTTCCTTTGGTTCGCCCTTTTCATGCTCCAAGCTTCAGGTGTTTGAGTTTCACTAGGCGATCCTATTAGAGTTCGCTTTTGTGAATTTAGTTAATCGTCGAACTTTACCCCAATATCGCTCTTTTAGCAGCCAACTTATTTGTTGGCACTGACAAATTTGGTGATATCTACTTATTTTTCCTTGTGTCTTTGGGCGAATCGCCCTTCTCGTATCCCATCGTTGACTAACCTTGAGGTATGACTTGATACACTATCAACTTAGGCGACGCCATGCTCATTTGGGATTAAATTATAGTGCAACTTAATTTGTTGTTTAATTGGCAAGTCCGGGATACTTGTCCCGAGTTTAATAATGAGTATCGTGATAAGTTATATCTTCCTTTGGGTGGTACAGTAATCCTAGAATAAGTTATTCTGAGATAAAATAAGTAAATGACAAAAATATTCCTTTAAACCTTTTTTATACATCACTTTTTCATATTCATGCAGCTAATTTTTTAAAACAAATAAATTACTTTTAAAATTTATTATTAAATACAACAAACCAAAACTCAAAAAAAAATAAAAAATTAGCATAACTTATCGCATTTAACTGGTGCATCAACTTATCTCTTAGGGGTAGTTTGGTAGAGTGTATTAGGAAGAAAAAAAATACATGTATTAGTCTTGTGTATTACTAGTACATTGTTTGATATTCTTTTTCAACCTATGTATTGTGAATTAAGGTGTGTATTGCTAATACCATGAATTTCTAGGTATTAGCAATGCAATGGTTTTAATGCATGCATTAATATGATAAAAGACTCAATTGTCCCTCAAAACCTTTTTTACATATTTTCCACCATAAAAGTGAAGGGTATCTTTGTAAATAATTTTTTTAATGCAATACATACTATTTTTAATGAATCAAACCAAACAATGCATTAAAATAATTTATATATAACTAATACAAGCATGACTAATATATGAATTGATAATACAAACATTGCTAATACACAATAGTTAACATTATTCTTAATTTATTATACACTCTACAAACGACCCCTTGGTAACTAATGTCATAATAACTTGAATTCAAACAAAGGTTCTAAAATAATAACTTGTAGTCATTGGTCTCTGTGGTTTAAAAAAGAAGTTGAAAGATAGCGCAAAGTAGCGCTGTTGAGGATGAGTAACACCATCGCCGTCGATTGTTGGCTTCTCAGTTCCGGCGTTTCCTCCTTTACATCCACTTCCAAGTTGTACTTTCCGGCCAATTTTTCTCGAACAGCACACTTTGGTAGCAACACAATTCGAGCTTCCGCCACCACAAACGGTTCAAGTAAGCAATTAATCTTTAATTTCATGAAATATTAGTGAAGCTTCCAAGGATTTTATTATCTGAATGTGTTGATATTTGTTAATTTGAGATAGGTCTTTTGTTTTCGAATTGCAGGTGAAGGTGTTATTTACAAAGCGTTATCATGTGGAAGGAGAGCCTTACTATCTATGATTACCTTGCCTCTTGTTATGCCGTGTGAAACTATTAACAATAGTGTTGGTGCCATTGCTGCTGAGTACGTTCAAATGCATTGCTTTTTAGAAATTTGTTTAGAGGTTTACTGCCCTTTCGGATTTCACTTTCTTGTAAAATGAATCCATTGAAGAGATCCAAATAGTGGTGTTAATTGTCAAGAAATCTGATAGACAAAGATAAGTAAAATTTGCAAATAAGTATATTGGTTAACATGTAGGTGTTGAAGACCATGTTCGACATTCAAAAGTTGAAGTGTTAAGTCCAGCACAATTCACATGTATTAATTATTTTATTTATGGATGATTCCTATGTGCAAGTTCGATTTGAGAGTTCTCTCAAGTTGGGTTTTAGTAAACACACTTCTTTCTAGTGATTCTATATTTCTATGCTCCAGTTAGATTATAAATTCTAAGAGAACATATGAGAGAATTTGAGTTTGAAAGAGGAAGGATTCTGCTCACATAAGGTGAATTTAGTTTATCATACTTCCACCAGTAGCATCAACCATTTTAGGAGTGATTTTTTTTCCAAAATTCGTGATTACTGATTTCCTTATTGAAGGCACTTCACCAAATGTTCTTGAAGCATATAGTTTGGTGGTAGAAAGTTGAAATATGAAACATTTTGAGAGTCATCCGTATGTGAAGATAGGTAGTTACTGATTGGACTGAAAAAAAAGGCATAGATTGATAAACTTGATCACCTTTTTTGGTTTTATGTTAGCAGTGACAAGTTGGTAATAGTAAGATGAATGTGAGCAAGTAGGTTCAGTTAATGTTGACCCTCTTTGATTTCACTTTCACAATTAGGATCTCAACAAAATATGCTTGACAATGTAATTTTTTGTTTCAAGTTATTTCTTTTAAGAAATGTAATTACTCCATGTATTCCTAGAAGGGGCACTAACTTTCTTTTTGTTTTTGGCAGTGAGAGCTTTCGGTTAAGGGAAGAGATCAGGAAGGTATTATCCAAGGGCAAAGCTGCTGGTGTACTTCGCCTTGTATTCCACGATGCAGGAACTTTTGAAATTGATGAGAAAATTGGTAATACTTTGAAACACTTATTCCTTCCCCCCCTACTTGCACAAAAAAAAAAGAGGAAGAAAACAGAAGAACACTAGTCCAAACATTAGCAGCTTTCAATTACAAACTTTGTAAGCTATCACATTTTCTTAGAATCTAAAGAGCTGGCCTAAAAGAGTTATAACATCATAAAATGCAGATGGAAATGCTTCTAACACTATTAACCTGCAAAACCTGTATATATCTTATTTTGTATTTATCCAAAAATAAAATAAATTTGTGCAGTATACAAATGTACTTGAAAGAAGAAATTGTTTGTCTTCCATTCCTGAATACATGATATCAACCTCAATTGTTCTTATATTAGGGGGTATGAATGGCTCTATAGTATATGAACTCGACAGACCCGAAAACAAAGGCCTTAAGAAATCTCTAAAGGTGAGCGATTTTATTACGTATAAGCTTTTGTTTTGTCACTCCATCATTTGTTTTGTTTTAACCATACTTGGGAACAGTCTGCAGATATTCTCATTTTAAATTTTAGTTGTTTACCATTTCCAAAGACTGATGAACTCTCATATGGACTTCAACCAGCTAACATCTCGGTCCATGCATTGTTCTATAGATTCTGGACAAAGCGAAGAGTCAAATTGATCTTGTGCAATCAGGTAAACTGTCTCAGTCAATAAGCTGCTGTTAGTTCACCTATCATATTTGTTCCAGCATAACTTTTTTAATCATTGGCTTTGTTCGCAGTCTCATGGGCTGATATAATAGCTTTGGCTGGAGCTGAAGCTGTTTCATTATGTGGTGGACCTAGTATCCCCATTCAGTTGGGAAGAATTGATTCAATGTGAGGCTTATCTTTTAGTTTATGATAATAGTTATGTTTTGCTAATATAAGATGTAGGTCCTGTAAATGTGGAGAGAAATTTGATTGCATCTATCTTTTTATTTATGCTGTGTAGAAATGGGGATGCAAAGATTTAATAATTAGGCTCATCTGAATCTCTTAAATTTAGCAATTGACAAGTAACTTACAATCTTAATTTAAGCCCTTTGTGGATAGTTCCTTCTCATTCAAATTGAGTGGTTTTTCCATCTAAGCACCAGTTGCCCGAAACTTACCATGAGGAAACCCCTAATGCATGAAGAAACCATATTTCAATTGATTGTCGTAATTTTTATGCCTTATCTACATTCTCATAGTTGATTTTGACTTTGTAGGGTGCCGGATCCTGAAGGAAAACTTCCTGAAGAATCACTAGATGCCACTAGCTTGAAGCAATGTTTTGAAAGGAAAGGCTTCTCGTGAGTCTAATGACCATACTAAAATCTACTTGTTATTTTTATTTCATCTTCTGCTCTCTTTATACTCCATGTTATACCATTCAATTAGCATTCTCATATTGTTGTGACGCCATTCATGTAATTTGACTAGGTTTATTTTTGCCAGTTGCTGTTAGCAAACAAATAGATAATCTTGTTTGTACTCTTCTGCCTTGCTTTAGTGGATAACAAAAGACGTTTAAGGGTTTCCCCCTTCAATAGCTTCTTCAGATAAAGTAATGAGTCTTGCAATTCATAAAAACTTTTGCATCTTTCTTGGCATTTCTAGGGTGTTCTTCACTTGCAACATTCTGTATTAATTTCCACTGATGTTGGGTAAGCAGAGGTAGATCCTGGATTTGGAAGTTTTGGGTGCCTATGCAGCGTTAAGCTTTATCGATGTTTAAAAAGCAATAAGTATAATTTATCATCAATTATGTAAACATAGAAGAGCCTTGGCTCATTGGTCTGTTTGAGTTTTATTAGTGATCAAGGGCTGTATTTCTCGACTGTACCAATTTTTTTAACAATATAGGCTTACTATATTTGTCGAAAAAACTGATCAAGCTGTGCTTCGAACCGTTGCACCCCTATAATCTTCTAACCAACATTCCAGGAAGCACCATTTGTCAGATTTGTGTGCTTTTTGATTAGAATATGTGTAGTCCTCGATGCAGCACACTAAATTAGTTTTAAAAAGTGCACCAGGCTGGGTTCTAACTCGCATCTCACGGGTAGAAAAACCTGACTCTCCAACACTGGCAACATGTGCCCTATTGTTACTCCGAGTGCCAAGATTAGTAATTATATACATTTTCTCACACATATATACAGAGTTTTAACCGAGATGTTAGGGTGTCGTGGCACCCCCACCCTTCTACATAGATCCACCCCCTGTGGGATATACATAAAACTGTTGCTTTCAGGTTAAGCACTTTGCCAATGAACTGGCTTTGTAGCATCAGTAATCCTTTTAAGTAATATTGAATGCAGTATAGACAAACATGGTGATAAATAACATATTTTGTCACTGTAGCTTGTGTGGATAAATAAGATTTGGTAATTCACATGGAGTAAACTTAGTTCTGTTCTCTTGTTTTCTGTGGAAGTGAACGACCATTAGTTCTGCTCTATTTCGTGAAGCATGTGAAGTACTTCTGTATTTCTTCCGTTTCATATGCATCTTGTTTCTCTTTCTCCGGTGTTATAATCTTAGACAATTCTAACATATTCTTACACTTTCCGAGAGCTGATTTTGGATTTTCTTTATGATTGTTTCCTTATCCTTCTGAGTTTCTAATGCATGAGTATGAGATTCATAGTTTAGCCCCTCCCATTTGCACAATGCATACAAATAATACTTATACAACATGTATATCAAGAACGTGGCTTTGTTAGACAATTCAATTTAATGTACGCTGTGCTAACATTTGATGAAACAACTGTATACACTAATTCACATTTTCCTGTACCAATACGAATATAGCATATAGGTTATGGTGAATTGTTAACCTCCATGACATACACAATGTTTCTAAATCATGCATAAGGAGCATATTGCACAGCCAGTCTTTAGGAGTAACCATTTTAAACCTTAGACCTGTTGGTGTTATTCTAGGCAATATTCAGAAACTCATCTGAAATGATGGTTTTAGAGGAAGAAAAGGAGATTTATTATTTGATCGGTATCCTTCAAAACTGGTTTATCTTAAATGTATTCAAAATTTTCAATCGCTGGTCTTTCCCCATATATCTTTTTCTTTTTGAGGCAATCTATATTCAATATGCCACTATAGTGTCAGTCGTATGATATTTTGTGAGTGAATGCATGATCATGGCCAAAAGAGCAGATTTAATTGCTCCATAATCTTTCCCCTGCCTCGAGGTTATGGAATTTCAGCTTAGCTGAACAAAATTCCATAACTCATGATTTTTTGCCTCCTCTATTAGCCGCATCAGTTCGGTACTTTGGGTTTGAGAATTCATTGACTGACAGTTTAAAAACCTAAAAAGCCACTTCTCAGCTTGGTATTTAGCAACTATTGAAATATTTGGCTTTTGATAATCATGGTCAGTTGTCAGAGGTCTGAGCAGTCCAGGCTCTAACTCTAAAATTATGCAGTACAACCTCTTGCTCACCTATTCTTGGAAAGAAAAAGCTAGATCTGTTGATTATCGATGTTAAGATATCCTGTGTAATCTCCATGGATTGTTCATTTTGTTGGCAGAACTCAGGAACTTGTTGCCTTGTCTGGCGCGCATACTCTGGGAAGTAAAGGGTTTGGGAATCCAACCGTCTTTGATAATGAATACTTCAAGATACTCATGGAGAAGCCATGGTTGTCCTCAGGTGACAAATGGCATTCATATGATATTAAATGGTTGTGTATATATATTTAATTCATTGAAACAAATAGCAAGCACACCGAATCATCAGAACCTATGAAGCAATGATGTTCATATCTTTCTGAAATGGAAATCCGTGTACCTACTTGCCTAGAGTTTAGATGATTGTTGCAGAAAACTGTCAAGCAAGACTAGGCTCAGGATAGTCTGAGCTGCAAATTGTTTATGCTTCAGTATTTATCTGGAATGATGACACTCTTTCTGATAATAGAAGACCCCTGTTTTTAGAAATTTATTCATATGATAATGGGAATAATAAAGCGTAATTTCCTTTTTTTAATGTCTTCAACCATATTGTAGTATTTTATTTCTCTTTCATCTGTACAGGCGGCATGACTAGTATGGTTGGACTTCCCTCTGATAGGGCACTTGTTGAAGACGATGAATGTGTAGGGTATGGTTTTCTTTGACCTTATGCTATTTAGATTCCTTTATTATGGTTTGGGACAATTACTTCTCCAATTTTATCCTGACAAAAGTTAATGAAGTAAACATACACCTCCGCTAGCGGAAAGGCAGAATTTTCAGTTCACTAATCTATTTTCAGTTCACAAGTTATAGAGCCATCGCTCTCAGGATTGACCTTTTGTCTAGTAATGAATTCTTTCTTGAACAGATGGGTATCAAAGTACGCTGAGGACCAGAGTTTATTTTTTGATGATTTCAAGAATGCCTATACCAAACTTGTTGACACTGGTGCAACTTGGATGAAAGCATTGTAGTCCTTGAAATTAATCAGCAATACCTTGTCATAGCTGGTAACTTGTTTTGGTATATACAAGACTTGACCCAGCAACAAATGCACTCAAATGTTACTTTCTGGTTACACAGGCAGTCTTAACGGAAAATTTGCAGCTGAAGTTCAGTAAATGAACTGAATACGGTTAGAAGTCATGTTTTTATGGAAAGGCTTAGCTCTATCTACCATCGATGTTCCAACAACTTGGTCCTACTCATTGATCTACAACAGTTTGTGCAATCCAGTACCTACCCTACTCGCATAAGAAACGTTATGTTGTTACACTCTGATCTAAATAAATGTATGATAGGAAAAAGGAAGGGAAATGCATATAAAAGTATACTGCAGCTTCATTTAGGTGTTCTTATCACTTAAATAGTCTCATGTTTTGACATTTGTTGTGATTGATTCATCAGAGAAAAGTGATCACCCTAATATATGAATTTGTGTTTTTTAGAATCTGGGGATCTTATTGATATGTAAATTTGGCTTCTTTTTTTATTTTTAGAATCTGGGGATCTCTATTTTGATTCAAACTGGCATAGTGCCTTTGTAAGAACCTGATGCCCCGCCACTCCAGTAATTACGAAATGAATTTACTGTGTGGGCCAGGTGTATTGTGATTTGTAATTTGATACCATCAAATCAATTATACAAGTAGTTGTTCGGAGCCTGCATTGGAGCCCCAACTAAATTTGGATTGCGCACAGGTAAACATTGTTATTTTCTGTTTGTTGGAGTTAGTTTCTCAACTTGACGGAATGCCAAATATGCATGATAAAATGTGAAGAATGTTCCCCAATTAACATTATATTACCTTGAATTTGTTTTAACTCGTAAAATATTGGAGTATATCTTCTTAATCTCTTTGGTAGAGAGATCGATTATTCCGCAAAAATAAATAAATTTGATAAAGGAAAACAAAAAAAAATATAATGTTAACACGTGTTGTTAACATTGAAACAAACAAACGATTAACATGCAGCAGCTTAAGCTATAGCCTTAATTCATTTCCAGGGAAGATTAATCCCTTAATCTAGATCAATCTCAATTAATCATTATTTTTTACTGAAGAAATGGAAAAAACAAACAAAACAAGAAGGTAATTGTATATAATTATAATTTGCATGGGAAATGCGATGGGTTCTTCAAAAGCATCCTATACACAGATTCTTGTAGCATCTTCAATTGGATTAATTCTTGCTGCTGCTGTGCATTATCGTCTCAAGAAAATCCGTGATCAAAAAATTGTTCCTCGTACTAAAGTTACTAATACTGGTCAGATCCTTAGGTTTGAGAGTTTTTCTCATTATGTAGGTAATTTTCATCTTCTTTTATCTGTATGTGTTGTCGTTGTTGTTGCTATACAATATACCTATATGATCATTAATGGATATATTTATGCAGCTAGACAAATGGGATTTAGTGACAAGAGGGAATGTCCACATTTGTGCAAATTATCAGCTGAGTACATAAGGAAATCAGAAGGATGTGAAGAAGATATATACAACTTCTTTTCTAATGAACCAGATGCTGATTCTCTATTCATTAAGTTAGTTGAAGAATTTGAGAGATGTATCCTTAGTTACTTTGCATTTCATTGGACCCATGCTTCTCATATGATCAGTCAGGTCTGTTTAACAACATCCATGATCTTTAATTTCAGCATATAATATATATATATATATATATAATATATATATATCTCAAGTCCTCTCTTGTTACATCATCTTTCAGATTTTGAGTGCTGATCATGCAGAGCCAAAAAAGAAGCTCAAAAACATTGTCATGGCTGCTACAAGGTATTACCACAATTATATATATCCAATTATCACTACACCAAAAATGAATTGTAGCATGCAATTATTAATTAGTGACAATAGCTTATTTGTCGCTAAATATGTTTTTTTTAAGGAAATTACTAGTGACTATTACATTTTAAAACTCTTTGTAAATGTTGCTATAGGGTATAGCGAAATTGAATCTAATGGCAATTAACTAATGTTGGTAAAGACTTTTTGCAATCCTTGTTAATGTGAATATTTATTGTTGCTTAAAGATGTTTTTGTTGTAGTGTATTAGGATTATATTATATTTACTAATTTAAAAGAGGATTAAAATGATGCGAAGGGAACAAAGATTTGAAAGGGTGACAAAGAATCTGAAGGTTGCAAGAGTATTTACGACGTTAGTTGAGGAGATGAAAGCAATAGGGCTAGTTTCAGTAGATGATTCAGAGTGCACTGATGTGATGGTTCCAATGGCTCACAAAGATAGAAGTCCAGTCCTACTATTTATGGGTGGTGGTATGGGAGCTGGTAAAAGCACTGTGCTCAAGGATATCCTCAAGGAGTAAGTATAATTCATTATAGATGTACTCGACTAATTGCTCGTTAACTAATGATCTCTCTTAATTTGTAGACCATTTTGGGCAGGAGCAGCAGCTAATGCAGTCATAATAGAAGCAGACGCTTTCAAAGAATCAGATGTGATTTACAAAGCCCTTAGTTCCAGGGGACATCACAATGACATGCTTCAAACAGCTGAATTGGTACATCAGTCGTCAACTGATGCAGCATCATCGCTTCTTGTAACAGCACTTAATGAAGGGAGAGATGTCATAATGGATGGTACACTGTCATGGATACCCTTTGTGGTGCAAACTATAACCATGGCAAGAAATGTACACCGAAGACGTTACCGTATGGGTGTTGGATACAAAGTGGAGGATGATGGATCTGTAACTGAGAGCTATTGGGAACAGTTGAATGAAGAACAAGAGGCCACTGATGGAAATAGAAAGAGGAGACCTTATAGAATAGAATTGGTTGGAGTTGTTTGTGATGCTTATTTAGCTGTCATTAGAGGAATAAGGTAACACATTTAATTCTTTCCAGTTCTAGTCTATGTTGCTTGAACTCTTCGAAAATGTAAACGGGTGCGTGTCGGATTCTTCAAAAGTAGTGTATTTTTAGAGAATCCGACACAGGTGCGGCATCGAAAGTGAAGAGTCCGCACAACTTAGGTTCTGGTATATATGGTGTAATTAATTTCTACTTGTTTTTCACAGGAGAGCTATCATGTGTAGAAGAGCAGTAAGGGTGAATTCACAACTGAAATCACACAAGAGATTTGCAAGTGCATTCCATACATACTGTCACATAGTAGACAGTGCAAGATTGTACTCTACTAATGCATTGGAGGGCCCTCCTAAGGTACAATACAACCAAACAACTTCCTACAAAATATTTTCTGCTTTTTTATTTCTTTCATTTGTCTCAACATTCTTATAATTTTCCTACCATATGGCTTGTTAATATAATACTAAATGGGATACTCCCTGTTAAGAATATTATTAAGTAATAAAATTGTGTTTTCTCTAATAGCTTAAACTTTTAGATGAGATAGTCACACACTTCAACGTGGTGTCAAAGCAAGCAAATGTCTTTAAGATCGAATCTCACTACCACTCATATCAAATAGAATTTCCACGTACTTGGTCTTGAAATCGAATATCACCACCATCCATATAAAAAAAGAATTTCCACATGCTTGACTCATGAAAAAAATGAGGGGGCGTGTTAAGATTTTAGATGAGATGGTCACACACTTCAACACTCCCTTCATTCGTGACACTATTTCCTTATTAGTGTGTTTCAAAAAGAATGACATATATAGTTGAAAACATCTCAACTATAAGCTTCTCATTTTATCCTTAAAGGAGAAGATTTTATAGCTACCTAATTATTATGGCATGTTTAAGACCACGAGTAATTTCAAAAGTCTTATAGCGCAACAAATTAAATGCTATATATCACTACAACAAACATCTTGCCGAGTCAAACTGTGTCACATAAATTGATAGTAGTTGCTAACTCGTATAAATTGTAAATTTTGATGTGGTTTATTGGAACAGATGATAGGGTGGAAGGAGAAAGAAAGGACATTATTAGTTGATCTAGATGAGATAAATGTACTGCAAATGGTTGGAAGGTTGAATGATGGAGCAAACTCCATCTATGAACTTTACAAGAATCCTCACCCAGCATTTCAAGCAGGCTCTGTTTGGAAAGATATTGTCTTGTCGCCTTCGAGGATCAACATTCAGAAAGAACTCAAGTATTCTATTCAGAAAGTTGAAAGGATGAGAAGCTAGTTGAGTTACTTCCTACTAGTTCTGATAAAACCGCAGATACATTAGTATTCCCACTATTCCAATTTATGTAACACCATTTGGATTATGAGAATCAAACATTTTAATTTTGATAGTGAATTTTGGCATGTAATTGTAAGGTTTTAGAAAATAAAACTTATATATATGTATAATGAAACTATGCAAAAGGAACAATAAGTGTCCGATTTTCTGTTCTATATTAGTATATCCATGAAACTGCAACAAGATAGTGCAGCTAATTCTACCATCACACATGCTGTACTTGAAATCCAGGATGAGTGTTACCAAATGCATTTTCTTTGTTTATTTTCAACTCATTTATAACATTGATATATATACAAATAAAACATTCTCAATCAACTCCAACCTTTGTCATGGCTAATATGGCAAAAAAAAATTCCTAGATAATTTTAATATACAGAAAAACTAAAAGGTATGAAACCATTGCACATGTTTGTCAATCATCTACAACAGCCCTTACATGAACGACTATGTTTATGCTTCTTGCAAATGCTATCTTGGACCTGAGAGCCGAACAGCCGAAAGATAAGCATCACTGTTGCAGTCTGATGGTGCAGAGGTGCCGGATGAAGTACCCTCGCCACTTAGTGATTTCAAATAACTTGAAAAAAGTCGTGACCCCATTTGAGAAGCAGTTGGTGGTGAAGGGACATGGGAGATCCCTTCCAGCATTTGCACAACCTTAGCCATGGATGGCCTGAGAGACATGTCATCCTGTATACACCACAGAGCAACTTTAATTGCTATGGAGACCCTTTCATCCTCTTCTTCAACTTTCAAGTTCCTATCGATAAGGTCTTCCAATTTCCCCTCTTCCATCATCCTAAAGGCGTATGAGGGAAAATGGGATTTCTCTGAACTTTGTGAAGGATCATAATTCTTCCTACCTCCAATTATCTCAAGCAAAACCATTCCATAACTAAAAACGTCACTTTTCTCTGATATGGCATAATTTGTGATCCATTCTGGTGCGAGATATCCTCTTGTACCCCTCATGGTTGTGAAAACATGGCTCTGCTCTCTGGTCATCAACTTAGCGAGGCCAAAATCTGAGACCTTGGCGAGGAAATGATCATCAAGAAGTACATTTTCAGGTTTGATATCGCAATGCACAATTTTTACATCACAGTCCTCGTGGAGGTAAGCTAGGCCTTTTGCTGTGCCAAGTGCAATATTAAATCGTGTATCCCAGTCTAGCAAGAATTCCTTGTTCTTCTTGAAAAGCCATTTCTCTAAAGATCCATTTCCCATGTACTCATAAGCCAGAAGCCTGTGTGTTCCTTCAGCACAAAAACCTCTCAGTCTCACCAAATGAAGATGATGGATGCTGCCTATAATACTAACTTCTGCTCGAAATTCTTTCTTTCCCTGGCCAATGCCTTCCAATTTCTTCACAGCAAGTCTAGCCCCATCTGGAAGGACCCCTTGGTAAACTGAACCAAACCCTCCTTGCCCAAGTTTTATTGAGAAGTTATTAGTTGCATTCTGAAGTTCTTTGTAACTAAAACGAATGGGCATCCCTGATAGGCCCTCCAAGAAATTGTCTTCTTCTGAACTCCCCTTTGCAGAATCAGGCATCTTGTTGTTCTTTCTCCTCTGATATCTGATACCTCCATAAATTAGGCCAAGAATGACAATAGCCGAAGAAATGACGATACCAAAGACAATAGGTAATCGTCCCTTCCCACCTCCACCTCCACCTCCACCACCGCTATCCCCATTCCCCTGGCTAGCTGATACTTTAATGTATGACTTGAAACCAGCTCCATTAACCGAACCTTGTAAACTTCCTATTTGATCAAACATAAAACAATTCCCTGAAGTGCTATCAAAGAACATAGCAGCACATGAGCAATTGCCAACGCAAGAAGCTTTGCAACCATTTAAATCAGTTTTAGAAGATGGAGAAACAAAACCAAGTGCAAAATAACCAAGACTATCCCCAGCATCTACAAGCTCCACATCTTTATTGCAAAACGAAGCAGTCTCAGGTTTGCAAGATGGAAGGGCTGATGGGCACTGACACTTGTTGCCACTATAACAAATGAAATATGGATCACAAGAGTCTGGTCTGCTGCATTCATCTTGTGGAATTCTTGTCCCCGAGTCAAGCTTTGATTCATCTTGAAGAATGCTAAAAGTAATGGAACCATCTTCTCCAAGAACAGCCAACCGAGTCGCATTTGGATATTTATCATCAGGGAAAATGAACTGCCAGAGCAACACTCTCTTCTCACCATAAATTTTCCAAGCATTTCCATCAAGAATTGCTGAAGTGACACCTCCTCCAACTTGATTGATAGTCCTTCTATCATCTTTCCCCATAGCCCAATAAGGCTGTGGAGGCTGAAAACTTGCAGAAAGAACCATATCCCCAGACTTAAATTCAAGTGAATAACTCAAATTATTGTTGTTAGGAGTGCTTACAAGCTTCATTCCTTGAGTGAAATTCTGGCCTGACAGAAGAGTATCAACAGGATGTGTGAAGCTTTCCCAAATAACGCTACCATCTTTCCCAACCAAAATTAGATTCCCCGAATCCTTCAATTCCATGGCGGAAACTCCTTTATCAGCCGTATTCGTAGACCAAATTGTTGATTTCCCACTTTGCAAATTGGCATTTCCAGTATCATCAAAAACAAAATTATCATTATTTCGAACAGGGGAATCTCTGTTAGCTGACCAAACGATGGTAGAGCTACTTACATGGATGACAACAAGAAGGAACAAGGTAACATCATTAGTAGGGTTAAATCCAAATGCAAATTTGGAGCTATTGGAAACAAGAATTAATCCATCGTTGTCTATCCAAGTCATTTGAGAGCCTTGAAACCCCAGATTCAGTCTGCCTTTATTCTGAACACTAGCTATACAAGTCTCAGGCAGAAATAGGAAGATCATTACTAAATAAAGGGAAATCCAAGACTCCATTACCCAATTTGGAACAAGAACAATCTGGAAAATATCCACCAAAACCTCAGATTCAAAAGGGGAAAAGTTGAATGAGAATTATGATAAGAAAGAAGGCAGGGAACTCATAAATGACATTGTCTATCACATTCACATGGGGTATGAAATTATGGTCCAAGAATCAAAAAACGTGAAAGTGAACAAGGACCCACAAGAGCAGAAGAAGCAATAAGAACCCATTCAAGTCAAAGCTCTGAAAAAATTCATTTGAATGAAACAACCAGAGAGGAAGACAGTCTACACAGGAAGACAGCACGTATGCAAGAAGAGTGATGAACAGAAGAAGTAACAAAATTGCATTTGTTTGGTGCAAACGCAGGTTTTGTGTGGCTTTTTGCTGATATGAGATGAGAGAGAGAGAGAGGGAGAATACAAGAGGGAAGAAAGGCAATGAATCTGTTTTGTGCTTATGTCAGAGAAATGGAGAGATCTGAGAAATGGGTAGAAATTGCAGCGCAACTACTACTCTCTCAGTTCCATTTTATATGTCATGTCTTTCTATAAATAGTTGAATCACAATACTTGTTCTTTTATAAAATTTATGCATAAATTATCATATTTTACTTATTATAACCCTTGATAGAATAGATAATTAATTTTGTCATTTATTAATAAAGTTGACTTAAGAAAATATTAAATAAAGGTAGAAGGATAAAGTTATATCATTTGTTAATGCAAGTGCAAAATAAAAATGTGACATATAAAATGAGACAGGGGAGTATTACCTATGCCTATAAAATATAAAGGGAAATTAAACTCATCATCATTTGCTTTAAATACATACAATTAGGGGTGTACAAAAACCAAACCAAAAATCAAATCAAACAACAAATTTAGTCAAACCGAGAATAAAAATCCTACTAGTGGTTGGTTTGACTTGGTTTGGTATTGGAAATAAAAACCCTACTATATTTAGGTTAGTTTGGTTTTAACTAAAAAAAAATAACCCGACATTATATATATAATTTTAAAATTTTATTTTATACATAAAAAAATTTACTTTGATATAATTTTTAAATATTTCTTATACTTTTTCATAGTTTTTATCTTTTAATATATTATTATTTCAAGTTTGAAACTTAGAATTCTAAATGGTTCAATAAAGATTATAGTCCACAGATATTGGTAATTTTAATAAAGCTTAAATCAAAATTAAATTAATACTAAAGGAAAAAAAATAATCAATTCAACACTAAGAATGACAATAATATTGAATATTTGTTCTATGATTTTACATTGGTTTATTCAAATTACATAATCTAATTTTATTTCCTTTAATATTTAGTCATGTAACTAATACTTATTAAACTTATTTTAGCATGATTTAGTACTTTTAAATTATGATCATTTTCATTATGACTTGTTAATTTGCAATATTTGTTTTACTCGATTTCATTATTATTATTTTTTGTTGGATATTTTAGTATCTTTACTCATATAATATTTTGTGTTATTTTCTTAAAAAACACCTTAGATAATTGTATTTTGGTAGGACTAAAGAAATATTTGAAGTACAAGTAAATTATATGTTTGTATGAATGCTTTTCCGGAAAAAATCCGAAAATCCGAAAAACCCGAAAAAATCCAAAGTTGAAAAACCCGAGTTTTATTGGTTTGATTTGGTGTATAGATTTAAAAATCCGACACAAATGGTTTGGTTTGATATTTGAAAAACTCGAACCAACCCGCCCATGTACACTCCTACATACAACTATGTAACCATTTTATTGTGGCACTTGCATACATTAGTAATGCATAGGTATATATATTTCACTATGACCAATCTGAGTTGTGATGGACTGGCCAACAAGGAGGTCTCGGGTTTGAGTTCGAATTCTCCTAGATATGGAGTTACCTTTGTTAGGAAGCAATTTATCCTCAATGTGGGACCTTTTGGCGTAAATATAAATTTAATCGGGCTCCAATGTGAGTACTTGACACCGAGTGGAAAATTAAAAAATATATATATTTCACTATGATGCATTTATTTTACTTCTACATAACATTTTTCTACTGTTAATATCTTAGATCATCACTCAATTTTCAATAGTTCACTTAGAAAGTCACTCAATTTTGTTTTATAACTCAAAAGTCACTCAACTATTAGTATTTTACTTAGTAAGTCACCCAACTACTAATATTTCACTTGGGACATCATTCAATTAATTTAAATCATTTTATTTTAAACTAATTTTTAAAGAAATAATAAGATATCTATTTTAATTATCTTATTAATCCGCTCCAATTATTTAAGTAATAATTTTTTGAATAAAACATACGGTAGCAATTGACCCAAAAAAAATAACCTTTTCCGTTCTAGTAATTGTATAACTGGAATTAAATATATATAAAAAAAAGTTGGAATTGATAAGAAGTAATTAAAAAAAAACGGACGGTAGCAACCTTCTACTATTTTTTTTAATAAAAAAAAAAGGTAAAAACAAAAACTATATTTCAACAAACTCAATAAAATAATTAAAATAAGCATCTTATTATTATTATTTTTAAAAGAATAGTTTTATTATTATTATTTTTTGTAATTTTACAAAATTCAATGAAAAATTATTTAAAGTGACTAAGTGACTTTCTAAGTGAAATATCAATAGTTGGGTGATTTTTTAAGTGACACATCAATAGTTGAGTGAGTTTTGAGTTATAAAATAAAGTTGAGTCACTTTCTAAGAGAACAACTCAAAGTTGAGTGACTTTCTAAGTGAATTATTCAAAATTGAATGATCATCTGAGATATAAACTCCAATTTTCTACCTATAATAATAATAATAATAATCACATATTCACATTTATTATCATAACATACTCTTTATAAAATTATCCCTCTATAACAACTATATTCAAATATTGTATAATAATATTCTGTAAAATATATATTATGTTTAAATTAAATATTAAAATTATTTACGATAATCATTATTAATGGCATGCACATGATAAATTACAAATACAAATATTTATATATTCGAATGTTAGAAACACACCTAAAATTATTTACTCATTTTTTGAGATTTATAACTAAACTATTGAAAAACGTAAGTTTCAAGACTAAACTTTCATTTATTAGCTTTGAATTTGAAATTTCAACCTTGACAAGCCAGCCTTTGGTCAAAAATATTTGTAGTAGTATATGACTTGCTTCATACGCAAATGAATTTTATGCCTTAAGTCATTTTTGAAATAGCTGAACATAAAAAAAAAAAAATGAATTTTGATCATGATTTAAATGGTGGTCCCAAAATTGATAATTGTATGCTTTCCCTCTTTGAATTCATATAACATAATCTTCATTAAAGAAGAAAATGTTCCGTATCATGTTTTTTTTTTTAAAAAAAAAAATTCTAATTTGAAACTCTAATCAAAATATATAAATACTATACTCATTTCATCACAACTTCCAAGTATATCAACGAGACTATATCCACCAGTAAAAAGATTGCTTGCGAGTGATTATATTTACTAATTCTAACATGTTACTTATTTTATTTTTTTGAATTATCAATATATATCTTATGTAAGCATTTTATTTATTAAGATTTAAAGTCATAAATAAAACATATTTTTAACACATGAAGTTGAATAAATTCAGAGGCATTCTCAAGCTGTCAATACATACATTAAAAAAAAAAAAAACAATTTGTTTACTCCTTAGTTGGTAGGACCAGTGTCACAGTCTGTTACAGATGGATAGTAGTAATTTGTAGGACTAATTAATGGAATAGTTTAATAGATAATATTCAGCTGGAAATCTAAAAATTAATGCTGAGTTGCTGACTAGTGGTTTGGAGGTTGGGATAATTAAATGTAGAGGATTGGAATGTGACCAAATTAACTTTTATAGAGTCAACAAAGACTAAAAAAATAAAAGGAGGATACTTCCTTAGTTGTTGTTTACTCCCTCGGTTCCTAATTACTTGTCCACTTTTTCTTTTATAGTTGTCTCTAATTACTTGTCCATTTTGACAAATCAAGAAAGGACAAATTCTTTTTACCTATTATACCCTCAATTAAATGACTAATTATTTTGAAAAATGTAGAACTTTTCATCCATTTCATAATTAATTGGAGTAAAATGATAAACTCACTATGTCATAAATCATTTTCTTAATAGGTGTGCCAATTTAAAAGTGAACAAGTAATTAGGGACTGAGGGAGTACTTATTTTATTTATATTAAAAATATATTTTATTTATTTATTTTGACAATTTGTAGTCATTTTCCTATAATTTTTACTCTTTTTTTTTACCCTCCCTAGGAGCTCCCACCCCTTTTTACTCCATTGGTGACTCGAACTCATAACTTTCAGATTGGAAGTGAGGGGTGCTTACCATCCGAGCAACTCCCTCTCGTCCTTTTACTATCTTATAGTTTTCAAATATATCATTTTTTATTTTGGAAACAAAATTATTTTTTAAAAATTTCAGCATATTGCCTAACACTCACTAAATTTTAATTATAAAAGTATTTTTATTTAATATAATTCAACTTAACTTCAAAGATTAATAACCCTCAAAAAACGAAATGTAACAACTAATTTAGGACAAAGAAAACATCTTATTTCATTGTAACCTTTATTATTAACTAACTATATAAAGTATTAGCAACTAAACTTAAATTTTCAAAACATTATTAAAATGGAACGGATGAAGTACTTGCAATTTGAGTTCTTGGATTTCCCTCCAAATGTCCCACAGTCCCACTCTTGTAATTTGTTATTTGGGAATTGTTTTGACAAGAAAATAATACACCTACACCCGTTATTCACAAAAGATCATAGTAATTAACCATAGCAAAATGATTTATTTAAATAAAAGTATATGGAGTATTAGTTAATCATAATTAAATAATATAAGTGTGTGAAAAAACATCACATATTCACCGATTTGATATAAATATCAATCACGAATAATTTATTCTTCGTATAGTGATTTAAACTTTTCTGAAGATAACGAGTAATTTAATTC